CTGTGGATGATTGGGATCGGGTACTCGCCTGAGGTTGAAGTCGTCACTGTATTCTGCTGTTGTCTTCATGGTCTTCACGAGATAAGAGTGCCACGTGGCACTTCTGTGTGATCAGAACTTATTAGACTTGCTACTATTATTGATGACGTGGAGGGAGAAGAAGTCCGGAGAAGGAGTGGGAATGGTTGGGTTATTATCGTGTGGTCTTTGATTATCTCTTCCACCTTCTCCCTTGTCTATCCTCCCTCCACTCTCGCTTCGTCTATTGGTAACAAGATACTGTTGCAGATATCACTTCACATTAACTGGAGACTTTGTGCAGACTTTGAGACTACTTGTACTTGACGGCTGATGAGTATCTTCCAGACTGGGTTCATTACAATTTGGTATCGGAGCAAACTCCTTCATTGCAATTTGCTGTCAGGTGCTGACGTGGCACCCAGGTAAGTGGGAGGTGCCGCATGTGCAAAACGAAACGCGTTTATTAACGCGCACGGTAAATACCGCAAGTCTAGACATTGAAGTATTGCATATGCGTGCAGCCTCTCTTGAAGATGATGACGTGGCTGCACTGAAGACCTCGAGATACCGGCGAGAGCTTTGTTGGCAACAGGCCGACATGGCGTTGGTCAAGAGAGAGATCGAGACCGCTGATGTGGCGCGTTGCTTATGTGGCATGATGTGGAATGCTGATGTGGTATTGTGGCAGGGCATGGTCTGACGTGGCACGTACCTGTGTTGCGATTGCCTGCTGTTGAAGCGCTGCATGCTTACCGGTGTTGAGTGTGTTGCATACATGCACTGCTGATGTGGCATCCCCCCCTCGTAGACCTTTTCGGTCCTTTACGCTGACGTGGCAGACCTGCTGCGTTGGCATGCCAGGGTTGACACGTGGCATGCAAGATATGTTGATGTAGTGGAACTATTGAATGTGCACTTGTTTGTTGGCAGATGGTACGGCTTCACGACTCGCTATAGTGTCGAGTGCTGGCCTTGTGATGGTTGCATTGCTTCTGCAGATGGTACAACCGAATGAGGAAGGAAGCTAACCATTGATTGTGTTGTTGTGTTGGCTCTCTACTCACCTGTTGATTGTCTGTGGTTGTTGTGTATACTTACAAGTGTGTTGTTGTCTTGATCACACTGGTTGTGGCTGCGGTACTTGTACACTTGCTGTAGGACGTCATCACAAAGAACAAACAGCAAAGTTAAAATATAGAAATTAAATTGAGAACTCATTTTTTTTTGTTTGATTGTTCTTGCTGTAAAAGTTGCGTGTGCCGTGGAATTTATTTTTGTCTTTTTCATTTATTTATTGTGCGGTAGATACACGCCAGGAAAATGAATTCTCTCTGGAAATGCCTGTGTGCCTCCATCTTGACGCGGTTCTTTCCTCTTTTTTTCTTCCCTATCCCTCTCATAGTCTATGCTGATGGTGAAGGGGGAGATTTGAACACCCGTGGTCAAGTTGATGCGAGAAGGCAAACTCTAAAGGGCCTTCTTCGTTAATTGCGTGGTGAGATACACGGTGCAGGACCAGCAGCTGAATAGCATGTTCACCGACAGTTCAACCTGCGAGCTGCAGAGGATGAACTTGATGCCGCCGAAACTGCTGTCTAGATGATGGAAACCGACAGGAGGATCGAGGATCTCATAAAGCAAGGGCGGATTGCCCTTGACCGATATGTTGCCGAGCAAATGGAAAAGATGGGCAAAAAGGAAGAAGAGAAAGAGGAAAGAAAGGAATTGTCCATAGAGATAATGGAGGAAAATATCAGACAATTAGAGAAATCTCTAGGAGATGAAAGAAGAAAGATTGAAGAGTACCGGAGGAGAAGAAGAGAAAATGATAGAAGAAATGAGAGAACGATTTCACTTTGAGGAAGTCGAGACTGATCTTTCATCCGTGTTGCAATCTATCATGGCTTACCTTGTTCATCTCGAAAGGAAGATAGACACTAACACCGTCTCATTAGAAACCATGATAAGGTGAGTGTTGAGGAGGAGACGAAGGGGGAAGCGGACAGGAAACCACCTCAAGAGAAACTCATGAAAAATGCAATACGGAAGGTAACGCCAGATAAACCCGGATCCTCAAAGAAAGAATCTGAGGAACCGGCAGAGGAGAAGGAAGCACCGACCGAAAAGAAAGAAAAACCGGTGAAAGAAGGCGAAAAACCGAGGAGGAAAGAAAAGGTCAAAATGAAAGTGAAATTCACATACAACAACAAGAAAGATGAAAACGTTTTGTTGTGTATTGCAGAGATCCAGACTTACTGTGGGACTGCACCCGTCGAGCCTGAGAGTCAGGTCGCTTTCTCCAAGTGGGTGTTGTCCGAAGCCAACGTTGTTGGCTTCGAAGATATAGGTCAGTGGGCTAAGACCCTGATGTTGAGGCAGTTTCTCCAAAAAATTAAGGAGAGATTCCTCGACAAGACCACAACTGACAAAGTTTTCGATGAACTCACCACAATAGGCCAAAAACGTTGGACTTCTGTTGATGCTTTGTCGCCTAAAGTTGATCGTCTTCTACAGGTACCTCGACTGAACTTACAAGATAACCAGGTCCTCCATATCTATTCTCGCGCCTTGCCCAAGCCCATTCGTGGACAGCTCGTGGCCAAATCAAAGTCTGGTAAGTACAATTAGCGGCAGTTTTGAGATCTTGCTCTCCAACGAGAGCAAATGACCGCACGGGTGAAAGGTACGTGCGCTTCGGTAGTTAAATCGGGACCGGTTGTTGGGTACGACAAGCGGGTCCTTTGGCGGCAAAAGCGCCAGGACCACATGCTTGTTGTGTTTGATGATGAAACGGTAGAGAAATTACCCCTCGACGAGTCTGAAGGAGGGGGAGGTAATGGCGGCAGTGAGTCGGGGAAGGGTGACGTCACTGTCGTAATGACCAACAAGGGAGGCCGGAGTAAGTGGAAGAAGAAGAGGAGGCCCGCTCGTTCCCTGAGCATCCCAGCATAGCGTTTGGGAAGCCATGAGAGAAGATAAATATGACACGTGAGGAATGGCAGGCCAAGATGTACAATCGTCAGTGCCACAAGTGTGGCACCGTAGGTCATGTGATAACCTTGTGCCCACTTATCAGAACCCAAAAGCGAGCAGCCAATAGGAGTAGCATATGCTCCTACTGAGTCGAAGGGTTTAGACGAAGACAAAGGTAAGGCGCCTACAACCCCTTCTAACTTTTCGACTCTCAAGGCAGAGGATGGCTCTTCTTCCGCCCATCGTCCAGAACACCCTGACACTGTATTTTGTTCTGTCTCACTGGATGATTTCCTTGACGAGCTCGATAATGAACTCATAGCACTCTGGAGTTCGTGGGCGAAGAAAGCTAAGTCTAAGGGTGAGTTGGTGATCGCGGATATTGAGATTGCGCACACACGAGTAGGTGACCTGTTAGATCCGGGATCGACGCGGTTTTATATATAAGAGAACGCCATTCGCAAATTGCATTTGGGAATGAAGGTAAAATATTTACCTCGACCTATTACGTTTATGCTGGCCGACAAGAGCACAATCATTGTCTCTCAATACATTGATCGTGTTAAATATTATTTAAGGACCAAGGAAGATAAGAAGATCTTACATGAGATATCCTTCCTTATAGAGAAAAATCTTCCCTTTGACATGATTTTGGGTATGGATTGGCACAAAGAAGCCGACCCAAAAGTCAAGTTCAAATAGAAAATTGTCAAACTAATGGACGAGAAGTTTGAAACTCGAGCAATAAAGTTATATCATGGGTTTGGCTCTGACTCTACTCTGTCTTTCTGTTGTACGAGTTACCCAACTTTTCGCTCGATAGTAGTAAAGAAGAAGTTGGATCAGAAGGTGATGATGGTGCTTGCCAAACGAGTAGGTGAGTGTTCCTCATCCTATCCATCTTCTATCGAAAAACTTATCGACGAGTATAAGGACTTGCAAACTGAGCCGACCGAAATTACTGAGCGTGCTATCAAGCATACAATTGAGATTATTTCCAGAAGCAAGATTCCCAAGGGGGAACTTGAGGAAGTTTGAAAACAGTTGCCAAAACTTACTGACAAGGGATGGATTCGCCCTAACTCATCTCCTTATGGTGCATCTGTCTTATTCGTGCCCAAAAAGGAAGGTGAACTCGGATTATGTATTGATTATCGAGGGTTGAACTTCGTCACTCTGAAAAACGTGAAACCACTTCCGCGGATTGAAAACCTGTTGGACCAGTTGCAAGGCTGCAGGTACTTCAGTAAGATTGATCTTCAAGGTACCACCAGATCAAGGTGGCTCTTGAAGATCAACACAAGATGACTTTCCGAACCAGGTATGGGCACTACGAGTTTGTGGTCATGCCTTTCGGTCTGACTGATGCACCTACGATCTTCCAAAGGTTAGTGAACGAATTGTTTCGTCAATGGCTAGATCAATTCGTAGTAGTCTATCTCAACGATATTCTAGTGTACAGTAAGACACCAGAAGATCACGAGAAACTTCTACGAATGGTTTTGCAGAAGTTGCACGAAGGCAACTTCAAACTGAATCCTAAAAAGTTCGAATTCGCTAAGCCTGAAGTACTCTACTTAGGGCATATAGTGAACGAGGAGGGACTAAGGCCTGGCGAAAATAAGATTACAACAATTTGAGATTGGCCCCAACCTAAGACTATAACTGAATTGAGATCTTTCCTAGGACTTGCTAACTACTATAGGAAGTTCGTCAGAAACTTCTCCTTGATAGCTGCTCCTTTGAGAAGACTACTAAAGAAAAAAAAGTCTTGGTTGTGGTGTCGGCGCAAATACCCTGGCAGGGGTATTCGCCCTGGTTTTTGCAAGTGACAGTGGGGCCGATGGTCAAGGCCTGTGTGTTCAAATGGCTACTTATGTATGGACCAAGGTTGTCTAAGTAGGCAGGATGAGTGGGCGCGCAGTTTCAAGGCGCGCGTGTGATTTTGCCCCTTTGATTGTAGTGTCGACGCAGGTGTCCGACTTGGCGTCGCACTCTTGACTAAGCCGAGGATTAATGGACTGACCCTCGTTCACTACGCATGACCGGCGGCGGGGCCGATAGGTAGGATGGTACGTAGGGCGGCCGTGGCACAGTCGGGGAGGCCAGCGTGATTGTTTGGTAGCCCCCCGCCTGGCCATAGGTGGGGGCAGGGCCTGCGATGTCCCCCTCAACCCTAAGTACTGGACTGCCTCACTTCAGTACCACTCCATTTGGGATCCACCGCCTGCTGATCCCAGGCTGGGGCTTAGCCCTATAGGTTACGGTGGCGGGTTACTACGGCGGAGGTCCCATGATCGAGGCCAGTGAGCGGTGGTGCGGGAGCAGCGGCGAAGCGGAGCAGCGAGGAGAAGCCGAGGGGTCGAGGGCCTGTCAGGGCTATCCCCCTTAGCTTTTGCTGATACAGGCGACGACGAGCCCGACCTACGGGACTGACCGGGCGGCGATAGCCCCTGTCCCCCTAAAAAGCCCCGATGCTATAGGCTTGTATCCCTTGTTTTTATATTTATTTTTATTTTTATATTTATTTTATTTTGTATCGCATTCTTTCTTTTGTTGCTGGGTGACAGTCCCGTTTCTCCGGGACACGTTGTAGCGCCGCGGGGCGCAGCCCCGGCTGAGTCCTTTGGGACATCCGTAAGGTTGGAACGATATAGAGGAGACTGGCAGTGCCACAGTACAGAAGGGGCAGACAGCGATGAGGGCCACGACCGTACCGAGTGCCCAACGGGTTTGTGAGACCCTCCTCGGCGGTCTTCAAAATCCCCATTCGGCTATCTGTTACTATCACCAAGACCTACACCGCGGCCAAGTCACAAAGGCTCCCGCTACAGGCTGCAGTGAGGCCSCSCCCCCCCCCCCCCCCCCTGACCTTGTGAGGTATTACGTGGCGGAGGTGAGTGGGGGCGCGCCGGTTGAAGACTGCGGGCTACCGCTTGCAGTAGCGGTGCGGCCAATAGGACAGCTCGGGGTGATAGGAGCAAAAGGCCCGCCGAACCGTTTAATAGCTGGCCTGCCCGTAGTTTTTTGTTTTTGTGATAGCAGGTTGGTTGAACGCACCCTGGGTACGCCGAGCACTGTCGGACTAAGTGGGGCGCTACCTGGAGTAATGCCAGCAGTTGCGGGAGCACAGGGAAGAGAGCGGAGCAAATGACGACCGTGGCGGATGGCGGACTAACGTGAATGTTGGAGAGGTGATAGGCGTGGCTAGGGGCAGGGGCTGGCGCAAACGGACACGAGGAGGGAGGAGACAGGGATGCAAAGCTGAGGAAGGAAAGGGATGCATCCGGCGTGAAAACCACGCCAGGTTCATTCAAAAATGGGGAAGAAGACGAACGCGGAGGGCTGAAGTCATCGTTTACCCGTTTCTCGTCGGATTTAGGCAGGGGAAAGTGCTATTTTGGGGTTTTAAGGGATGGCGAGCGTGATTCCGGGGTTAGTTTCAGAAGAAGGTGAGTAGAGCGAGAGGTTAGAAGGGAAAGGTGTGCGTGGAGATGGTGGGACTCGATGACATGGGAGTGGAAGTGCTTAACTTGCTCGTTTCTTGCCAGAATCGAGTAAACTAAAAACATGGGTTGGGATTATGGGCCAGGGCGAATCTGATTACGAGGTCAGTTGTAGGAGAATGTTAGTAGAATAGCGGGTAGGAAGAGAAAGGACTGCGCCCGGGCTATGGCGGAGTGTCGGGAGTAGAGAAGGTTGAAGGTGTGTGCCCGCTCACTTCTCAGTGAAAGCAGGCGAGGGGAGGTTGAGCTAGAGGTTTGGAGGAGGGCCGAATCCGATGGCAATACAGGATTCGGGAGCTGGTATGTAGGTTAAGCGATGCGAACATTAAAAACTGCGGTCGGAGAAGGGGGAGTTTGATGTTGGCAACGTATCTTGCCGTGTTTTAGCGGAAGATTCAGTCGATTTTGCTCATACCGATAGTAGAGGGGATGTGGGGTCGGCCGCAGGGCTGGAAATACCTACCCGACTGTCCGATGTGTTGCCTATGCCGGTGGTAGGATAGCCGCCCCCTATCCCTCTATGCGCATGACTAAGGATAGGAATGTATACTTCCATGTTCTAGTGAAGAATTCACTTGGGTTTTTTCACTCGTCCTACCGACAACAGTAGAGTCTGAGCTAAGCGAGAGTCAGGAGAGATGACATAGAAAGGCAGAAAGGTAAGGAAGCAGAAAGAGGGCACGTACCTAGTCTCGTTTTTCAAGTTGGGGAAGAGTCGCCCTCCTCCTGCGTACCCGAGGGGCAAAGGCCCAGGCAAGGAAGTAGCCTCCTTCAAAGTGTTTCGAGATTCCGGGTCGATCCTACTGTGCCATGGCCATCTCTGTTGGACGCTGTGAACAGGGGTAAGAACCGGGGGTTGGAAACTCACATGATGGACAGGGCGCCGCTGCCTCGACAACGAGAAATAGCAGGAAGCCGGAGATGCGATTGCGAACCCACCTGTCTGGCCAGCGTACTGTTCACTGTACCAAGGGGAGCAACTGTAGGTGAGCCGCTGAGCGCGAGGGCCGACGTACTGGCCGATGCACTTCTCACCCTACCAGGTGAGGCAACGAAGGCTCGACTGTAAGGTGTGTTACTGATCAGTATGCTAAAGCGACGTTTGAGCTGAGTAGAGCGAAGGGCAGGACTACAGGTGTGGAGACTTACCGGTCAGTATATGTGTTGCCGTCCGATTGCCAACACTAGAGGGAGGAGGGATAGCGCTTGCCGCTGAAGACCGGTAGTGCAGCAGCAATCGAGAGTCGAAGTTACTATGCCAGACCGTGCACGACAGGCGACGACGTATCTGTTCACGCCCCAACAGAAGGCTCATTCTGATCTTGCTCGCCGGTTGACCGAAGCAGCAAGGAACAGCAACGAAGTCGGAGGCTTATCTGTCGACCGATACGTTGTTGTACCTAAACGATGGAGGATGCCGCCCCTTAGCTCTCTGCGCATGGCTAAAACAGCGGTGTATGTTCCCACGTCTTAGCGGGGGATTCACTCGACTTTGTTTATCCTATCAGGAGTGGTTTACAGCGCGTATGTCTGAACAGCTGTACATACAACCACGTTCTAGTAGTGGTGTGTTCCCCTCTGCTACGAATGGGGTTGTTGGTAAAAGGTGTTGCTGGGACACTTGCTAAAGATGCCATGCACTGCTACTGACTACCGTTGACTACCACGGGCCAGTTGCGAATTGCTGCGGGAGGTGTCTTGGGTGCTGCAGTGCACCACAGCAACTGGGTGCTGCTCCGACTGCCGCGACCTTTGCAGATTCAGACTGCGTTTCTGATCCGGCAGCTACCGGAGGGCTGGAGATTGCAACATCGTTCTTGATTACTGCTGTCTAGAGAACGGAGGCGGGATGTAAAAGGGTGAGGTTGGACTGTAAGGGGGGCTGCCGCGTGTTGCCACTGACGACCCCATACTGTTGGGTGCCGTATCTGCTAGCCGCGGCTGTGTACGGCGATGACGTTCGTGGACTGTGCACAAACCTTCTGCTAAGTTGACGCGAGTTGCTGCTGCACCTGCGTGACTGCACACAGGCACTGGCCGGCTTGTTGTGCAACAACGATCGCTGGGCCTACTACAGGCTACTGCAGTGCCTAGAGTGTGGTTGTTTAGTGGCAAGTGACTGCAACTGGGTTGAAAGGAAGGCTGCTGCCGTGAGGCTTGGAGAGTGGGGCAATACGAAGGGGACTATCATTACGGAGTGGGGGTCCGTCAGGAGGGTCTGACTCCGCCGTTTGACTTTGGGAAGCTGATCAAGCTGTACTCTTGGCCATCATTGCGGGGCCCTCAGGCGCTGAAGACTTCAAGGCCCTCTCACGCGAGTCTGAGTGCGCCCCTCTTGTATCTGAGAGACTTAATGTTTCTCTTTCTGCCTCTCTTACTCTCAGTCTAGTCCAGTGGTTTGGAGAGGAAGGCGGCAGGCGGGATTGCAACCCGTAATCCGTGCCAAGGCCTTTGTGGGAGGTTGCCCCACCGATTGCGGGAGCCCTGCCGGAACTTAGGAGGGGTTCTGGAGGCAGGGAACTTAGAGGTAATCTCTGCTTTTCCTTTTAAACCCAGCATAACCCCTATCTATATACCTCCCTGTGTGTTGATTGGTTGAGCTGTATGCAACACTTACTTTGACTTTTGAGTTGACTTTCAGGACACAAATCAGACCAACTAAAGGAATGTTTGTATAATGGCAGTTTCAGTTTCTTGATTGTCTGAAGGCAGATTGCCACAAGGGGTTGCATCAGGGGGAAGGTTGGGAGGAAGGCAGTTTCGCTTGCGATTGAACAGGTCTTATAGGGTCATGCATTGTTTCTAAGATGAATGGCCTGACTGCTGTGTTTTGTTCTGTTTTCTGAAGAACCGAGCATTGTTTCTAAGATGAATGGCTTGGTTGCTGTGTTTCTTTAATTGTGCCAGACATTGTTTCTAAGATGAATGGCCTGGCTACTTATTTCTGAGGGGTATTGCTTGCTTGACTTTTGAGGGCCAGACATTGTTTCTAAGATGAATGGTCTRRCCRCTGTTTACTTGGGTRGTTTCTGAACAGTCTCTGGGTCWGACCCAGGGKACTCTGYTYTTTTTRTGTGCTGAAAAAGGGGGAGCTGAGCATTGTTTCTAAGATGAATGGCTCATCTCTCCTTGATTGTTTTATTCTGAGGGAGGATTCAGGGCCAGAGGACTAGACATTGTTTCTAAGATGAATGGTCTAAGTCTGAGGCCTCAGGACCATAAAGAAAACAAGGAAATAGGATTCTGTATAATGTTGTATGTATATATATGTACTTATATGCGAACAAGGCTAATCAGACATTGTTTCTAAGCTGAATGGCCTAACATTAGCCTTATCACAAGCGAAGAGAGTATAATCCAGAGCTATAACTGAAGGTAAGATGAATGGCTCAGCCCTACGCCCTCTTTCTGAAGACTAAGGTGCAGAAAGGTATATATAACTTGGCTATTTAAATAGTTCAGGGCGACTAAGCATGGTTTCTAAGATGAATGGCTTAGTCACATGCCCAACGAAGAGAAAAGTAGTTATGCAACCTGTTCGTGTATAACTAAGGCAGAGGGTTGACATTGTTTCTAAGATGAATGGCCAGTCCCAATGCCCTATGTAAGCAGGGTGTAAAGGGTTAAAACACTGAAAGACTATGAACTAATGTCTGCTAAATCAACTTGGGGATGGTGAGAGTACTTACCTTTGTGGTTTGGCCTGCATGTGATTGAGTGGCATCACTACCTGGTCTGAGTTTGAGTTGATAGGTAGTTGCTGTAGTGGCTCGCCACGTGCTAGAGCTGTAGGAGTTACATTCAATTTCTGCATTTTCTGAGATAGTTTTTTACTTAGTTCGATTTCTGCATTTATCTGAGGTCTTTTCTCATACTTGGGCTTGTATCAATCTTGGTAAGCCACTTTTCCTACGGGGAGCGTTGCCGAAATTTCTGCAAATCCAAGGAGTTAGACAAATCTCTGACTTTCCAAAAGTTCAACTATCCGAATCATATATGGATTAGTAAGAATCTGGGAAGTCTCCCTTTCTAAAGGGAGTGCTGCCCAAATTTCTACTAATTCAGGGAGTTAGACAAAATTGAGCTTTAGAAAGTCAAAGAGTATTCCTGTTATTATATTCAGGCTTATATAAATTCTGGAAATACAGTTTTCCTACGGGAAGCACTGTCAAAATTTTTCTTAGTTTAGAGGAGTTAGATTATATTATGACAGGTGGCAGAGTTGGCATTTCACTCTGTATAGGGGAAACCCAACCAAAGGTCTACCTTTTCTTTGAGCCTTGGCTTAGGACTAGGCTCAGACCTAGTTGGCTACCAGGAGGCTAGATGGGATCACCATATAGAAGATAGTTTGCATAAGGCTTACAGGTTTAGCCTTGGGCGTTGACCTGTCTTGTGTTGCAGGCCAGTTTTATCGATCTGATTCAGGACCTGGACTAGGTTCAGCGGATCCCTTGAGGGTCACCTGCTGTTATCATTGATAACAGGTCGGTTGCCGATTCGTCGGTTCGCGACTCAAGTCCAACTCACTCCCCATACTCAACCTAAAAGGCTTTAGCCCTAGTGATCTTCTTGTTTGTTAAGGGTTTCACCCAGACTTTTATTGAATGGCCATTTAACAAAGGTACTGAGTAATTAATTAAGGTTGGTTGGCTGGAGGTTGGGGCTTGCATGGCTAAAGCGGGGGGGGGGTATGAGTATAGGAACTGGTTGGAGTTGACTCCGTGTAGGGTGTGGACTCTTGTTTGACTTTGATGTGATTGCAGGTATATATAGTGACTTGGGGTTTTGGCTGGACTGCCTTGCGGTCGCACATATATGTATGGCTAGGAGGAGACCCACTATGACTGTGAGAAGTGATCGTCACATAATTATTCCCCTTGTGTATATGTATGTGCGAGTGTATGTATACCTACGTGGGGAATTAGTGTGGCCCGAAGTGCCCACGCCCCAGGGACCCAATCGAGGGTTGGGGTGGATAGAAGGGAGAGGAGGACCCCTATATTATCTCTTGAAAAATTCTTTGGTTGGACGTTAGCCCTGAGCCTGGAACGGGATGGTCCTCGCCCGGAGCGACCCTGGTCCCAAACCTGACACTAAGGGGGGGAGTTTTTCTTCTGATAAGCGCTAAAAGTACTTGTTTCCTTCCCTTGTTGTGATTCATTTTGGTGGAACGATAAAGTTCAGGGCGGAAGGGTTAGCGTGTTGCTGGTGATGCGCCAGACAACTCACCACCGCTCCAAATTCCCTCCTGCCCTAGGGGCCGTCTTACCTCGCACCCGTTGGGACACCTCAGGGTGCAGAAGGCGGGAAGACCCTCAGGTCGGTTTTGCTCCAGCTAAAGGGTTAACTCCCTTTAGCGGGCGCTTCAGCCAACCCCTGAGCGTCGGAGATGACCTCATGGCTCAGAATAGGCCACTTGGGTATGGGCACCATATAATGCATCGTCATCGCAGTTACTCTCGAAGAGCTGCATAGCGAGATGGTATGTGAAGGTCCGGCGTCCGCGCGATCTTATATCAAGTCCGCATGCGCGGCGCTCACCGATTCTCGCACAAAAAAGTTATGGGTCAGGCGGCGAGACCACGAGCACGACACGATCAATAAACCGGGATTTTGGGTTTCGCGAAGCGGCACGTGGGCGGAGGACCAGTCCCAGGCGACCTATGGGGGTCCGCGTACGGGACTCACTATCCCGGTCACCGGGCAGCCTATGGATAGGATATTGGGCCTCCTCCGCACGCGTGCCATTTGAGCTAGTTTACCCCCTTTTATTCTAGGAGGCCACCCGCTAATGAGAGTTGGAGTGAGTTTCCTTTTTGCACTTTCATGGTTGGACGTTATAGTCCGTGGCGGCCGTCAAAGTCAAAMCCCTTGATGTTTGACCGCCACGACAACTTAAAGCTGTCTACTCAACCCCTCTGCACAGGGTGCAGAAGAGGGTGTGGTCTCCAACCGCGCACGGCGGTTGTCCAGCGTCGAGAGATTAACCCTCAAGGCGCGTGTCAGCCGACACTTGAGTGTCGAATGCGATCCTCGAGATTAACGAGGACCGCGCGAGTATGGGTACTACGTAGTACGCCATCATTGCGACTGCTTGCGTGCGTTTGCATTGCGAGTTGATATGACTTAGCCTTCCATCCGCGCGGTTTTATATCAAGTCTCGCGCGCGACGCCTATCCGATTTCCGCATCGGAAAGTTATGGGATGGCTACCGCGGGGCTAGGAGTGTTGTCGCGTTGTTTGTGTTGTGTTGTTTCGTGTGTATGGGTGTGTGTTTTATTTTTGTGTTCGTAAAATGGTCTGCGCGTGGTGTGTGGGATGCGTCCTAGTCGACCGACGTCGCGCCGGCGCTTGGGACTTCAGCCCCCAAAGATGTCGGTTCGCGTGCGGGTCCGATAGAGGCGTAAGACCGCGCGTACCCCCTATGCTACAGCGAACGAGAAACGCCCTCGGCTGGTCCACCTCTGCGATTGCAACCGAGTAGCTTTCGTATTGTGGACTGGTAGCTCGGCGGGGATACGCCCACCGAAGGGAGGTGACAACTCCCGTAAGGTGGAGGTAAGTTGTGCCTCGCGTAGGCCCTATCCTGTCGTAGGGGCTCGCAAGAGGCTGGCCCACTCGGCCGGAGCGGCCTGAGGAAGCTCCATTTGCGTGTTCATGACAAGGTTAGCTCAACTCCTGCGTGACGAGGCCGAGAGGGTCCCGCGCTGCCATGAGCAGTGCCGGACCGATGCGCTCGACAGTGGGACAAAGATTTTGAGTCATCTTTCAAAAAATCAAAGTATGTTCGGACTCACTACCCCGTCTTAAGAATTGTTGACCCTTCTCTTCCTTTCATCGTCACGACTGACGCAAGTTTGTATGGAATTGGGGCTGTGCTACAGCAAGATGACGGTAAGTGATATAGACCTATTGAGTTTATGTCCACAAAACTTTCGTCAAAGAAAGTGGCAAACTCCACCTATGAAAGGGAATTGCATGCCTTTAGTTGCTATACTGGACACCTGGAAGCATTACTTGTTAGGGAGGCATTTCACTGTCTATTCTGATCACTCTACTTTGAAGTGGATCAAGACTTAGCCTAGACTCTCTGACAAATTGGTAAGATGGTCTGCTTTTATTGATACCTTTGACTTTGAGTTGAAAACAATCAAAGGTAGATCTAACGTGGTTGCGAATGCTTTGTCCAGGCGTGCAAACTTCTTTGGAACTATTGTCTCCTTCCTCGATATCGGGAACAAACTGAAAGAACAGATCTGAAAGGGTTATGGGAGTGATCCTATTTGGAGTCTTGTCATTGAGACTCTATGAAAGAACCTTGAGTTATTCCCAAAATATCGAATGATTGATGGCTTACTCTTCTTTCTGGATAAAACCGAAGAAAGACGGTGTGCTCCTCACCAAGAGCCAATCAAAAGCTTAATCATTGGGGAATGCCATGATGCGGAAGGTCACTTTGGTTTTAAGAAGACGTATGCCGATTTGTGCGAACGTTTTGAATGGAAAGGAATGAAGGAAGATGTACTAACCTATGTGCGGACTTGTTTTGGCTGTCAAAGGAACAAACCCTCACATGAGAATCCGATGGGACTACTGAGACCGCTGCCTATTCCAAGTGAGCTAGGTGAGTCTACTTCCATTGACTTTATGAGCCTCACTAAGAGTCGAAATGGCAATAGTTAGGTAATGGCCATCGTAGATAGATTCTCAAAGTATGTTATGTTCATTTCTTTGCCTGTTGAAGCTAGAACCGAACTAGTCATCCAAAAGTTTCAGATGCGATGAGTCTCTGAGTATGGATTCCCGAAAACCATCGTCTCTGATAGGGATGTTCGATTCACTAGTCTACAATGGGAGAAGTTGATGGAAGTCTATGGGACCAGGTTGACCATGTTGTCAGGCAGACATCCTGAAACTAATGGCCAAACTTAGCAAATGAACCGTCCTTGCCAACAACTTTTGCGAATGTATGTCCGACCTGATAAGATAGATTGGGATGAGAACTTGCCTAAAATTGCTATTGCCTATAATGACAGTATACATACTATTACAGGTAAAATGCCTAATCCACTGCATAAAGGATGAAACCCTAGGCGTCCAATTGACGCATTAACAAGGGACCAGATTCAAAGGCTACCCCCAAGTACGCGTGAATTCGCAGTTTTGTATGAAGAAGACATCAAGAAGGTTAAGGAAAACATACAGAAAGCCCAACTACAACTGATTGAACAGGCCAATAAACATCGCCGACCTTCACAATTTCAGAAAGGAGATCTTGTCTAGGTTAAGTCTAAATTGTGTGGCAGTTGGGCTGGGCACCCCTAACTCCAGTGTGTCGTTAGATTGAACCTGAATAATGTATTGGTACAATATAATTCGTAGGTCTAGTTGGTCTGCGGCCTTTATGGTCAGTTGACTCCATTAAATCGTTGAATTAAACCTCATCAGGAGTTACATATAATTTGATCTGAATGCGGAAGCCACTTTGGCCACCCCTGTGGGCAGTGTATTCCACTATGATGTTAAATTAAACTTGAATAAAATGTGGATGGAACTCAATCTGTATGTGTGATCAATTTGGCCACCCTTGTGCTCAATTGACTCCACTGTATTGTTAGAGCAAATTTAGGGGAGAAAAAAGTGCAATAAACGCAGTTCATGGCCACACCGTCATGGGCAAGGGTCGTCACTTTTGGTCAAAGGCCAGAAGCAGGGGCCAAAGGTCACTCCCAAGTCTGAGAAATGTCTAGGAAAGGGCCTAAGGTCACGGGTATCAGGGCCTGGGTCAAAAACAAAGTCCAGAGCCCCCACGTGAGGTAGTTGACTCAATCAAGAGTCAGACCAAGCACAGGAAAGCAGGCCCAAAGTCAAAGTCAACCCAGTAGTCAGCCTCGGCGATAGATCAGATGCTTATCAATGGTTGTCTACAGGTATTCGGAAGATTCCAGTCCTAACTGGGAAAAGGTACTGCTGAGATTGGTCAACGCTACAAAAGGATAGTCAGACACTGGGGAAGGCATTATGCTTTGCACTGGCTTGATGCTAGTGTTGTGTCACGAGGCTGCTGGAGTCGGGAGCTGGCGCCAGATTCTGCTGGTGGGCGCCAGCCCAGAGGGAGATTATTTTGGCGTGGCCATAGCCGCATAGATGTAGACTAGGCGATGAGGATTGGCAAGGAGGATTAGGGCTGTGAGACTGAAGGGAGATGTGGGGAGCTTACCTGGACTTACCTGGCGAGGACACATGTGACCTGCTGCTTTCTCCATGAAGGTGAGGAAGTGTTGCGCCATCCTCCATATCTGATTGCTGACGTGGAGGGAGGGTGGGTGCCCTGATATGATCTGCACAGTAATTATGTCAGAGGTCGTCAGAGGGAACATGCATTACTGAGGTGGCAATAGAGGAGCCCGAGTGGAAGAGAGAGAGAGAGAGAGAGAGAGAGAGAGAGAGAGAGAGAGAGAGAGAGAGAGAGAGAGAGAGAGAGAGAGAGAGACATACATGTACTATTGATTATCATTGGGAATCTCTTCTTCCGCATATTTGTCGTTTCTCTCCTCTCTCTCTCCTCTCATGCTCTTCTTCGTTGAGATGACACTCTTGAGTTGTGCATATGATCGAGACATGGACTTGTAATTGATGTTTTTTAGACTTCATGAGCTGCGCTAGGTTCAGACTCCTATTGCGTTGCTAATTGGCTTCTCAACGAGACTGGGTTCGTTACAATTTGGTATCAGAGGGATATTCTCCTACCTCGCGCGCTGCTATTTGTGACATTGGACGCCGATGATGATGATGATGATGAGATAATGTGATGGTTGTCAGCCGTGGAGACGAAGAGCGACATTACTGTTATTATTATTTGCTGCTTGACACTACAGCGGCGGGCAGAGAAATTTTAGTGCCACGAGGCAAAGTGATTGCTGACATGGCAGTGGAGAGGGAGACTGGTGAGAAGTGGAAGGATTGCTGAGGTGGCATAGGGGAGGATTTGATTTGGCACTTCCCGTCACTTACCGATTGAAGACAAGGACGACAACTGAACGTTGAGGTGGCAGGCACTTTGCTGACGTGGGCTACATTCGGATGCTGACATGGATAGGGGCTTGTTGGCGTGGCAGGCATTATTATGCCATTGTATACACTTCCTGCCGATGGCATGCTACCCTGTTGAGGTGGCATTTTTGACGTGGCACCTCTCTGCAGAACAGCAAGGTACTATTGCTGATGTGGCATTGTGTGGCATACTGATACCACACGGGCCCCAGTTAGGGCCTGGTTCTGTAGTAGGCATGGTTTAGGCCTAGGTACCGGGTCACGACGGTCCCAGCTGGGTCCATGAAGGCCTAGGAACCATCGGTTCAGTTTAGGGTCCGGTAGACCTCGTTTAGACCCCACCAGACCCAACGGCTAGTTGGTTAGGCCAGGTACCGGTCCATCGGTAGGACCGACCGGCGGCGCAGTTTTAGGCGCCACTTTTCAAATTCAAATCGGATCTGAACCGTTGGGCCCGATCAACGGTCCAGACCCGAAGGCACTCAGTAGAACTGAGGCCGACCCAGCACTATATCAGCTTGGCACTTCAGCGTTAGCAGCGGAGCAGCTGAATCGTTAGTCTACAGGATTAGCGCAGCACTTCAGCGTTAGCAGTGGAGCAGCGGAGAGAATTAGCGCAGCGTGGAGGAGAGATAGCGCAGCAGCAGATTAGCGCAGTGGTGGAAGAGCACCAGCCTCCGGCCCAGCCCGCGGCCCAGCACCAGCCCTGCAGCGCCATAGCTGCCTCGCGCAGGTATCAGGAAGAAAGGTCTTGCCTTTCCTCCCTCTTCTTCCTCCTCCTCCTCTCTCTCTCTCTCTCCCCTCCTACCCTCTAAGTCTAAGTCTACTTTCGGGTTACTCCTACTGGACCACTACGAGTATGAAGGATGGTTATGAGTTCTGATGATGTTGGAGATAGCAGCATTGAGATTGCAGGTGGAGGACTACTGTTGGGATATGATTTCATCTACCTCTGGAGATATACCTTGACATTGTGAGATCGATATCTGAGACACTGTGAGACTCTGTGTGCGCTACATTTCGGATTTTCGCTATTTCGAGATACTATCTTTGGAAACATTGAGTTGACGTCATCTTCCCTCTCCTCCTCCCTTCGTCTCTCCTCCCCTTCATTCATCCGTGTCTGAGAATTGACCCTGGCCTTTTCTTCTATGTCCAAGGCCAGGGCTTCACACCACCGATGTATGTTTGTGAGTGTTTCGTTGCAGTCTGAGTCAGGTCTGAGTCAATCCATGTATCTCAAGTCTTCCACTGTATTTGTACTTACTCTGTATTATCTGGTTGGTTTTGGGAATCTGCGCCATACTTATGACTGTGTTTCACTAGTATGCAACAGTTTGGTATCGGAGCAGACCAGCATTGGATGACTCACCATTTGGATGGATGGATGGATGGGTCTAAGTTTGCTTTGTTTGTTGACATGGCTAAAGAGTTATCACCTTGTATATTATTTTTAGATGATGCTGATTTTCTTCATAAAAACATCTATAGATTTTCTGTAATGAAATGCTTTGTTGAACTAGTTTTGACTGATGTTTTCGCAATTTTAAAAAGCGAAATTCGTCACAAACAGTTCAAGTCCACAAAAGTTTGATTTTAATAAGTAAGAATAATCAATAGAAATAAATCCTTGATTGAATTATGGATGGATGGATGGATGGATGGATGGTGTACAGGTCGATTGATTGATGGATTGATTGATTGATTGTCTACACCTGTACTCTGGTATCATTAATCGCAAGTTGCAACTTTTTTCTATTTCTTCTTCTTACATAGTTAATTAGGTCATTTGAATTCTATTTTTAGGTTTGGCGGCTATCTCCATAATGCGTAGAATTAGAAAATTGCTAAATACGATTAAACTAATTAGTGTTAATTAGGGTTAGTCCTAACCTAATCTACCGACCTATCGGGCTATGGGAAGTAAGTGCCAGCCAGACACCTCGCCAATTACGGCAAATCGGACCTAGCACGACCACATTCAACTACAACTTCAAGGAACTTTCACTTTTGCAAATCGCATCTTTGTTTGGCGATTAAAGATTGAATCTTTACAGCAAATGGTGTATCTTCCTACTACCATTGATCTTCTACTTACCTCATGACCTCGTAAGGATGCTGATTTCTCTCGATTAAATTTCATGATGATTAAATGTTTAATCTTATTTAAACTTTATTCGATTTTATTTTTTTGCAAACTTAAGTTTTTCTTTTTTATTAAATATTTAATGTTTGCCAAATTAGCATGGCTACGCCGGACCCGGACCCGGACATTTCCGGACATGGAACCGGACCCGTGTCCGGTAGTTTCCGGACGTTCGGAATTCCGAACATTTTCGGACCTCCGGACATTGGGGGATCCGGACGGTCCGGATGTCTGGACAGGTCCGGAAATGTCCGGACCATTAAACCACCGGTACCTCCGAGCCTGTTTTTGCCGACCCTGATTTTCACTGCGCTCCGAGTTTTGCCGAGCCTGGGTCCCACTCCATTTCTTTATGGTACTCTCACGGGAAGAACAAAAAAAAGAAAAAAAAGGAAGAAAAGTTGCGGCCGTGAAAACTCACAAAACAAGAAAAAGAAACAAAGCTCTGGACGTGATTGCAGCTCTATACATTCCCGGAAGTGTTAGTGTGAGTGTGCCCTCAGTGAGGGCATCTCAGCCTCGTGGCCAGGTTGTCAGAATCCAGAAACTCAAAAAAAAAAAAAAAAGACAGGACCAGGGATTTGGCCGTGAAAATGGCAAGATACATTCTCGTAAGTGCCAGTGTGATCAGGGTTACAATCCTCTAAGGGAACACAGCTCGAGCAGATCACGGAGTCAGATTGTCAGATTCCAAAAAAAGAAAACAAGAAAAAAAAAGCGGAAACACGGATTCGGCCTTGAAAACGGCTGGATACATGACCCTCACAATCATCTGAGGAAACACAGCTAGAGCAGATTACGGATTCCGCCCTGCCTCGTTGGCAGGGGGCACATAAAAAACAAAAGAGAAATAAAAAAAAGAAAACAACAAGTTCAGAATGTGACCGTCTTTGTTGTAAGATGCATTCAACACTGTGAGCACGACCTCCTGGACTACCCTGCCCGACATCATTGCAGTACAAAGACCTTTTTTTTTTCAATTTTCTTTCGTGCACGGGCAAAAGAAAAATACGATTTTTAGGACATCGCCGCCCATGTGTCCGAACCCCGAAAACTTCGGGTACTGGCCAGCATCTCGTATTTTCCCAACACTGGGGAAGGTACTGGTGGTTAAAAAAAAAAAAAAAAAAATCTGAAAAAAAAGTATGCTATGCAGAATAACAATGCAAGCCACTTTTGCCTTAGAGTCATGTCAAAATTCCTAACCAAACTTGAGTTACAAATCAAAAACTATAAAGAAGCTTTAAAAAAGACTTAAAAAACTAATAAAAGGTAATGGATTATTAATAATTAAAAAATTGGGGTTGTCTAATAAATTATTATAGAGAGAGAGCATGTCCGGACCTCCCAAAAAAGCATAAACGGCCTAAAACCCCCCCAAAACAATTTTGGGGGCTTGGCTCCTCAATGGGGAAGGGTCCTGGACCGTTTTTTTTTTTTTTTTTTTTTTTCCTCGAATTTTGGCAGATCCGGACCGTCCAGACCGGACGTCTGGAGTCCGGACTGAATCCGGACCGTCTGGACGGCGGTCCRGACGTCCGGATCGTAGCCATGCAAATTAATTATTTATTTAATTAACTCTTACAGAGTCTTACTTAATTAAATAATTACATATTTAATGTTTTATTTTTTGAAATTCATTTTTTTTCGTGGGGGGGAATTTTTTTTTTCTTGATTAGCATTAAGTCCGAGGTCGGGGGCAGAAAGGGGCTGTCTATGCATTTGCTTGCCTCCCTCCCTTTTCCCCATTGTGGACTTCAGTCAGTGGCCACATCAGCATTGTGGCACATCAGCAGCGTGCCACGACAACAGATTGCCACATCAGCAGCGTGCCACCTCACCGTGCCATGACATCAGATTGCCAAATCGTCAGCATGCCACCTCAGCAGGGTGCCACCTCAGCAGTGACACGTCAGCCACAACGAAGCCAGGACTACTAGATGCGCCGCAGTCAACGACTTGCTGAGTGCGGATCCAAGGGAACCAAGCCCCAACAGGGACCTAAGACACCTCGGATCCCGCGCAGACGACGCACGACCATGGCCGCTACCGCTGACGCAAATTCACAAGCCAGCCCCGTGAGGCCGGTTACTCCTCCTATGCCAGTTCAAGAGGCAGATGAAACACTACTAACGTTTCTTGAACGACTCCAACTATACTCGTAGGCTACTGCAACTGAACTTCGCAAATGGGAACAAGAAGAAGCAGGCGATCCAACGACAGCTGGCAGAGGCCAAGGCAGCGCATCATCAGGCCGCAATAGAAGTTGCAGCAGCCGCGCAGTTACAGCAGCAGCAGACGAAGGCAAGTCAGAATAAAGTTCGTTACCAAGCCACAACGGAGCTCGCCAACGAAGAAGCCACGTACCGGAGGGTATTTCGACAGCAGCACTTTCACGCAAACGAAGAACAAGAGGAGCTGACCGAGGAAAAGAGAAGCAAGGAGGCAATAGCAGTACTGATGGAAAACGTGTTGTACACGTGCAATTGGCAACAACGTGAACTGCTGGCCATGCGACAAATCTTCGTCCGCTACGAAACAACTTTTCAGACGCTGGAACAGAAGATCACCGCCTTGCAGACCGCGAACAGCGACCAGCAGGCCATCAACAACCAGCTGCAGACCACTGTCAGCACACGGTTGGCACGACTGTCTGGAGTTGAGTCGACGGGCAGTGCAGTGGCAGGCTGCAGCCCAGCTTTGGCCGGCCAAGCCAAACAACTCGAGGCGCGGATCAACCACGTAGTCACATCCCTTGGCGACATCAGCAAGTTGGTCGGGACGTCTACGATCAGCAATCAGCTGCAGATGCTCAGCGACCGCGTTCAACAACGAACGGCCACCATCGTCAAGGAATGGAAGATGCCGAACTTCAAGATTGAGAAGTTCGACGACTACCACAAGACTGATCCGCTGCAATGGTGAATGGCATTCAACGTAGAGGCGGACGTACATCACGTCCCACCACTGCGGCGACTTGACGCGCTCTACCTCCAGCTCATCGGAGGGGCGCAAGCATTCATGACGCACATGACCGTCACGTTGGAATGCACCATTGCCACCCTCCATACCAAGATCTCTTGGGAGGAGTTCGAGAAGAAGTGGAAGACCGGGTTCATGGTCAACAACGACGAACGTCACGCATTAAACAAGATCTTCCGCATCTTCCAAGGCCAACATAAACATCACGGGAATGGCTGACGGAGTGGCAAAGACTCGTCGCCACCCCGGAGTTGAACCTGGCTTTCGATGCAATCCGGACCGAGTTCTTCGCCCGATCTTGCGACGGCTTGACAGCTGCCCTTGGCAGCAAATTCCAGTATGAGACCTTTGATGAGATGATCTCAAAGGCAAGGGAACTCATACAAGGTAACCGGCGTGTGGCCAATGAGGCCCGCCAACAGCCCGGTTACGTGGAGAAAGGCAAAGGTCCGCGGACTCCGCAAGTAGCAGCGATCCAGCAAAGATCTACTCAGGACCACACAACCGCTTCAACATCAAGTGACGGAGATGTTGCGGCAGCGATACCACCACAACGCTCAAGACCCCGTGGGGTAAAACACAAAGCGAAATCAACGTCGGCGGATGGAGCGAGACAGTCACCATGGATGAAGTTCGGGATCATCGAAGACATGTTTAAGTTACGACAAAAATAGGGGTGCTGTTTATGGTGCAACAACACCAAACACATCACTAGTGCCTGCCTCGACAAGGACAAAGAAAATGTCAAGCGTCCAAGCTCGGGAAATTGAGCACCGCGGGAAGTGCAACGACATCACTTTCCAGTCCGCCGGACTCGGCTGCCTTGCTAGCAGTCTCTCTCACATCCGGGGACACCGCGGTAGTCGCACGTTCTCGGATTGACTTTGAGAACTATGCTGCCCAGCTGGTACCGTCGTTGAACCAGCCTCTCCACATGCAAGATTCAAGTGCATGCGCGGTGTTACCGCCGTCGGACAACGAACCGGTTGCTTTGCCAGCCCGACTACTGGAGGATCTGTCAACTTGGGCGAGTCTTGAGGAACTCGACCCGTTGACGGTTGAGGACTTCCAATAGTTGCCTCTTCCCTCCACCGGTTCTTTGCCAACACTGAATTGCAACGCCCTGATGGCACATTTGCGCGAATACTTGCACGCTGCATTACCACCTCCGTCGACGGACGTCGGAGTAGCGGTTGTTGACTTTCGCAGTTATCTCACGAAGATCGACCGCGAGCACGCAACGCAACGGTACGTGGACATCGACGCGCCGCTCCTCTACATCCGCATTCAGATCGGAAAGGCGACCTGCAGTGCGTTGATTGATTGTGGGGCGACTCGCAAATACATCAGCCAAGACTTTATGGCACGTGCTGGGCTTGGCCCGTGCGTTCGAAGGAAAAGTCAGCCTACGCACGTCACGTTGGCCAATGGTCACACACAAAAGTCAATCGACCGCTGCGTTGACTCCATGCCCGAGTACTTTGCCCCACTAGCATGCGAGGCCGTGTCATTCGACATATTGGACACTAAGTTCGATATGATCTTAGGCATGTCGTGGCTGCAAAGCGAAGACCATCCGGTAAACTTTTTCGGACGCACCGTTCACGTTCGTGATCGGCCTGGGGAGCTAGTTCCGTGCACGGTTCCGCTTCCTCATCCTTCGATTGGTTGTCACGTGGTCTTTGCGGCGAGCATTTGCCAATCCATCAGCCGGCACGACATCGAGGAGATGGACATGTGTTTTCTTCACGCCCTCCCACCCGGTGATCAGCCCAAGACGGACACATCGGACCCACGCATCATTGAGCTTTTGGACAACTATTAGGATGTCTTCCAAGCTCCCGTCGGAGTAGTACTGGATCGGCCCATACACCACGGGATCACTCTCGAGGACGGCGTCGTACCTCGGCGCGGATGCATTTATCGAATGAGCGAAGAGGAGCTTCAAGTGCTTCGGGCGCAACTAGACGACCTATTGGCCAAAGGCTGGATTCGCCCTAGCTGTTCGCCATACGGTGCTCCCGTTCTCTTCGTCCGGAAGAAGAACAAGGACCTTCGTTTGTGTATTGACTATCGGAAACTTAACGAGCAAACGATCAAGAACGCTGACCCTCTCCCTCAGATAAATGATCTTCTCGAGCGACTAGGCAGCGCCAAGTACTTCTCGAAGCTTGACCTCAAATCCGAATATCACCAGATCGAGATCCAGCCAAGAGATCGGTACAAGACCGCATTCAAGACGCGGTATGGGCACTTTGAGTGGCTCGTCATGCCTTTCAGTCTCACCAATACCCCGACTACTTTCCGAGCGGCTATGACGACGGAATTCCGCGACTTGCTCGACTGCACCGTAGTCATTTACCTTGATGATATCTTGGTTTATAGCTGGTCGCTGGACGAGCTCCTCGAGCACCTTCGAGTCGTTTTGGAGCGGCTCCGTATCGCCAAGTACAAGGCAAACCGCCACAAGTGCGAGTTTGCCCAGCAAGAGCTCGAGTATTTGGGCCATTACGTTACGCCGCAAGGCACTCGTCCGCTCGCGGACAAAGTACAAGCCATTCAAGATTGGCCGGACCTAGCATGTACTACCGACGTCCGCTCGTTTCTTGGTTTAGCATCATACTACATGCGCTTCGTCAAGAGTTTCCAACGGGTCGCTGCACCATTGTCGCGACTTCAGTCCCCCTTGGTGCCCTTCGAGTTCAATGACGAAGCCCGACAGGCGTTCCATACGCTGAAGACGACTTTGCTTCAGGCTCCCGTCTTAAGCATCTATGACCCGACCTTGCCAACCAAAGTGACTACGGATGCTTCCGGCTATGGCATTGGCCCGGTTTTGGAACAGCATGACGACACAGACTGGCATCCGGTTGAGTGCTTCAGCCAAAAGGTGTCGCCCATCAATTCCCTTGATGATGCGCGGAAGAAGGAACTGCTAGCTTTTGTCACAATACTTGAGCGTTGGCATCACTTTCTCCTCGGGCGTCTGCGATTCACGTGGGCAACGGACAACAATCCGTTGACTTATTACAAGATGCAAGACACGGTGAGCAGCACGATCGGTAGCTGGATGTATTTCATCGACCAGTTCAACTTCACCTCCAAGCATATTCCAGGCCCCTCGAACAAGGCAGTGGATGCTCTATCGCGAAGACCCGATCTTTGCACCCTGGTGCACTCCACATTCGGCCTCGACGAGGACCTACAACAGCATTTTGTAAACGGCTACAAGTCGGATCCGGGATTCTCCACACTCTATGCGAACTTATCATCGGATCATCCGCCGACAAGCAACTATCGCATCGTCGACGGCTACTTGCTCCTCCATACGCGAGGCAAGGACTTGTTGTGTGTTCCCCAAGACCGCATCTTGTGCACTCGCCTCCTTGGCGAATACCACGATTCGCGGCTGGCGGGACACCTTGGCGTCGCACGCACACTGGCACGACTCCACCAGTGATTTCACTGGTTGGACATCATCAGCGACGTCAACCGGTACATTCAGTCATGTGCAGTTTGCCACCGGAATAAAGGGCGTCATCAGCTCCCGTACGGCGAACTGAAACCATTGTCGATTCCTCGAGAACCAGGTCTCTCCATTGCTATGGATGTGACCGGTCCTTTCCCTCGCGATCGCCTTGGCCATGATGGTATTCTCACGGTCGTCGACCGTTTGAGCAAGTACGTTCGATTTCTTCCGTGCAAGTATCATGCGACGGCTCCCAAGCTCGCACGACTCTTGCACACCGGCTGGTTTTGCAGCCACGACGTTCCAGAAGACATCGTCAACAACCGCGACACTCGTTTCATGTCAGCCTTTTGGACGGCACTCATGGTGGAATCCGGTACCAGTATGAAACCAAGTTCTGTACGACATCCTCAAACGGATGGGCAAACGGAACGTGCGCACCAGACTGCGCAGATGATGCTCCGTACACTCATCCACCCGGATCAAAAGGACTCGGTTGACCGCCTTCTCGACATCGAGTTCGCCTACAACACTTCGGTGCACCTGACAATCGGCGTGACTCCATTTGAGTTACATCATGATGGACGGAAAGGCCGCATCTTCGCAGACATTTTGCTTCCACGAGCTGCCGACATCGATGCCACTTGCTCCCCCGCTTCTACACAGAAGTACAAAGATCTGCTGGCCAAAGCCCGCACAAATATACAAAAGGCTCAGGTCCGTATGCAGCAGCAAGCGAACCGACGTCACATCCCATGTCCAATCCGCGCTGGCGACCTTGTTTGGGTCACCTCCGAGGAATTCGCGTTCGAGCAGCACGTCTCGTTCAAACTCCTCCCTAAGTGGTTTGGGCCATGGAAGGTCACTCAGCAGCTGGCGACGACCCCGCGGGTCCCTCCTTCATAATCGAGATTCCCCCGCGTCTGACAGTCCACACTGTATTTCACGCTTCGAAGCTGGCGGTTTACACTCCAGCCTCACGAACGGAATTCCGAGGCAGACGGTCCCACGACCCTCCTTCGATGGATGGTCACCAGGAGGTCGACCGCATCCTCGCTCATCGCAAGCACGACAACAAGCCGATGCAGTACAAAGTTACATTCAAGCAATGCGATCCCGACGACACACGCTGGATTTCACGAGCTGACCTGAAGGCGGCAACACCCCTCATCTTTGCGCATTACGAAAAACAGCGACTTGCAAAGGAAGCTGCCCAACCCGCCCGCCCCATACGGACATCGGACAGACAGCTTTTCCCTTGCAGTTAGCTCGGTCTTCAAGGGGGGGAGTGTGGCATACTGATACCACACGGGCCCCAGTTAGGGCCCGGTTCTGTAGCCTAGGTACCGGGTCACGACGGTCCCAGCTAGGTCCAGGTAGGCCTAGGAACCGTCGGTTCAGTTTAGGGTCCGATAGGCCTCGTTTAGACCCCACCAGACCCAACGGCTAGTTGGTTAAGCCAGGTACCGGTCCATCGGTAGGACTGGCTGGCGGCGCAGTTTTAGGCGCCACTTTTCAGATTCAAACCGGATCTGAACCGTTGGGCCCGATCAACGGTCCAGACCCGAAGGCACTCAGTAGGACTGAGGCCGACCCAGCACTATATCAGCTGGGTACCAGCCTCAGTCGGTAGGTTAGTGGCGAGGATGTTAGTCTACAGGATTAGCGCAACACTTCAGCTTTAGCAGCAGAGCAGTGGAGAGAATTAGCGCAGTGTGGAGGAGAGATAGCGCAGCGCCATATTAGCGCAGTGGTGGAAGAGCGCCAGCCTCCGGCCCAGCCCGCGGCCCAGCGCCAGCCCTGCAGCGCCATAGCTGCCTCGCGCAGGTTGCCTTTCATCCCTCTTCTTCCTCCTCCACTCTCTCTCTCTCTCTCTCTCTCTCTCTCTCTCTCTCTCTCTCTCTCTCTCTCTCTCTCTCTCTCTCTCTCTCTCTCTCCTCCTACCCTGTAAGTCTAAGTCTACTTCTGGGTTACTCCTAGTGGACCACTACGAGTATGAAGGATGGTTACGAGTTCTGATGACGTTGGAGATCGCAACATTGAGACTTCAGGTGGAGAACTACTTTTGGGATCTGATCTCATCTACCTCTGGAGATATACCTTGACATTGTGAGATTGATATCTGAGACACTGTGAGACTCTGTGTTCGCGACATTTCGGATTTTCGCTATTTCAAGATACTATCTTTGGAAACATTGAGTTGACGTCATCTTCCCTCTCCTCCTCCCTTCGTCTCTCCTCCCCTCCATTCATCTGTGTATGAGAATTGACCCTGGCCTTTTCTTCTATGTCCAAGGCCAGGGCTTCACACCACCGATGTATGTTTGTGAGTGTTTCGTTGCAGTCTGAGTCAGGTCTGAGTCAATCCATGTATGTCAAGCCTTCCGCTGTATTTGTACTTACTCTGTATTATCTGGTCGGTTCTGGGAATCTGCGCCATACTTATGACTGTGTTTCACGAGTATGCAACACATCGTCTAGAAGAGCACCATGGTATCGTTATTAACGGGGCACCTTCCAAATGAGTAGGGAATTAATTGTTGGCGCAGCTGGAGTTAATGCTGTAGTGCCACACACCTGGACGCGTGCCTGGTCACACGGATATCTGCAAGTGGACAGTGGGAGCGATAGCAGCTAACGGTTGTCTGGTTGTTGTCTGTGTTGTCGCTGTTCTTGTGTACTTACCAGTTGTGGGCTGTCTTGTGGATGTTGCAGACTAACATTGTTGCCGTGTCTTGATCCCACTGGCGGTGGCTTAGGAATCTGCACAGTCTCTCAAACTAGACGTCATTAGTCATGATTAGTAGCCAGAAAACGAAGTAGAACTAGAGATCGAAAAAATTGTGATTATATTTCTGATCCATTTATTTATTTCCGCATGGAATTGACCGGGCCGGTTCCCCCCTGGTTGGCTGTAGCGCATTATTTTTTATTTTTTTTTATTTTTTAGAAAGCCCAGGGTGTTGTAGAGGCCAAGGAGTAGACCCACGGTGATCGGTGGCAGCAGCAGCCGGTGGTTGTCCTGACAGGATAGGGCACCTTCCCTACCCTTGCCCACGTTAAATACTCCCAGCGCACCCCCTATCCCTACTATCCTACCTCAGTGTGACCAGCACCCAGGACCATCACCCTACCAGTATCGAGGGCAACTTGGACCAGACAGCAGTGACAAGCACCAAGGGGCCGTAGCGCATCCAATCTGGGGGGTCTTACGGGTTTTTTCTTTTGGGCCAGGAGGCCTCCACGCAGGCCGTGGAGGTCTCCTGGCCCAAAACAAAATCAGACCGGATCCGGTAGGCCCGCCAAAAAGGCTTGAAGGTTAACATTTGCAGAAAGCCAGGTACGTTTGCAGAAAGCCAGGCCCACCAAAAATCAGACCAGTCACATGGCCTTTTCAAAGTTTTTGAGCGGAAGGTTAACATTTGCAGAATGCCAGGTACGTTGTTGTAAATGTCTGCTGAAGCCCGTGCTTGCTGAAACCCCACCACTAACACCCTCACCATAACCCCCCGAAACCCCCCGAAACCCCCCCAAACCCCCCGAACGAAACTTCTCTGTTCAGAGTTTTCTTTGCGGATTCGTGGAGAAAAAAAAAAATGTTGACCCACTTTTGGGCCCAACTGGAATCCCGGTTGGACCACCGAGGGTCCAACCGGCCGGTTGCCGGCACAGCCTAGAATTTAAGTTTATTGTGCGGCATACTCAACCGCAAGCATGGCTTACCTCTGGAAGCATCTGCGTGCATCCATCCTGACCAGATTTATTCCTCTATTACTCTTTCCTGTCTCTTTCACATTTTTGGCCGATACAGAAGAAGGAGAGGAATATGTGAAAACTAAGGGACAAATTAGGACGAAGAGATAACAAATGCTAGGTCAACTCCTCCCGCTGCTCACAGAGATGCACGGCGCTGGTCCTGAACATGAACAGGATGTACGTGGCCAGTTCGATCTGCGGGCTATAGAAGATGAACTACAGAAGGCTGATACTGCTGTTGCGTTGCTGGAAGTCAGTGGACACGTGCAAGAGATTTATAATCAGGCTCGTCTGAGTCTTGATCATTTGTCGCTGAGCAGGTCACAGAGATGACAAAGCATGGACTAAAGGACACAAGAGAGGAAGGGCCAAGTAATCAAAAGGGAGAAATGGAAGAACTGAACATGGAAATTATGGATGCAAACGTCGGAGGTAGAAGAGAAAAAGAGGGAGGACTTCTTGAAACAGAAACAGGAAGAAGAACAGCAAGAAAAGAAAGTTGCGGAAATAAAACAAACTTCAAGATTGGGTCAGAATCAGACCTGGCGTCCTTGGTGGAGAACATGATGGTGTATCTTGCACGCCTTGGGACCATGTTACTGCAGAGCTCAACACGATAACCAGAGTGGTCAAAGGAAAGAACGAGGTGGTGGAAGCAGAGAAAGAAGAAGAAAAGCCAGAACCAAAGAAGAAATTGATGTAAGGAAGCCCTGAAAGTACACGCTCCCAAAGAAACTGAGAAAAAAGAAGAGAGAAACCAAGAAGAAAGAGAAAGTGAAAATGAAATTACCGTTCACCTATACTGACAAGAAGGGGGAAAATCTGCTATTGTGGATAGCAGAAAATCAGATTTATTGTTCAACCAGCCTGGTAGAGGCAGACAGGCAGATGGCATTCACCACCGCATGTCTCGGCGAAGACGCCAAGGCCTGGGTATTGTCGGAGGTGAATGCTGCTGGTTTTGAATTTATTAGGGATTGAACAAAGACCCTGACGTTAAGGGAATTTCTGAAGAAAATTAAGGAAAGGTTTCTGGATAAGACAACCGCAGATAAGTCTTTTCATGAACTTACCACTATAGGGAAGCATCGCCGGACCGTTGTCGATTCGTTGTCAAAGGAGGTGGATAGACTGCTGCAGGTACCTGGTCTCAACATGCATGGGAACCAGGTACTATACATCTACTCTCGGGCAATTCCTCAGCCTATTAGGGGGCAGATGGTTGCAGAGGCCAAATTAGGTAAGTATAGCTATCGCCAATTCTGAGACCTTGCCTTACAAAGAGAGCAGCCGACTTCCCAAGTCAAAGGTACGTATACCAGTGTAAGCAAGGGTGGGCAGCAAGATTGGACCGGGAAAAGGATTCTTTGGAGGCAAAAACGACAGGACCACCTCCTTGTCATTCGTGATGATGAGACTATGGAGAGGTGCCCCCTCGAAGAGAACGAGGGTGGGACTAGCAACGGCAGTGAGTCGAGAAAGGGTGATGCCACTGCTGTAGTGGCCAACAAGGGAGGCACAAACAATGACGGAGTGAAAAAGTTGAGACCACGTTCCTTCCGTGGCCATCCTGGCATAGCCTCTGGGAAGCCATGAGAGAAAATGGGATTCTCCCAGAAGGTATGGAAGGACCGCATGGACAATGGTCAGTGCCTCAAGTGTGACACCGAGGGACGCATCATCGCATGGTGTCCTTTGATTAGGAACTCAAAAGGGAGCAACCAGTAGGACTAGCATCTGCTCCTATTGAGTCGGAGGGTTTGTATGAGTTGGCGCCACGAACCCCTTTCAACCCTCCAACTCTTATGGAAGAGGATGGCTCTTCTTCGGCCCCTCACCCAGTTCACCCTGAGCGAGTCTTGTGTTCCGTTACTCTGGGTGAGTCCCTTGATGAAGTTGGAACTGAGTTGATTGCCTTACGAAGTTCATGGGCTAGGAAAGCTAAGTCTAACGGTGAGGTGATGCTTGCTGATGTTGAGATTGCGTGGACACATGTGGGTGCTTTGCTTGACCCTGGGTCTTCTAGGTCTTACATCTCAGAGAAGGCCATTAGGAAATTGTATCTAGGGATGAAGGTACAAGAGTTGCCCAGTCCAGTTATGCCTATGCTTGGTGATCAAAGCACCATAATTGTCTCACACTATGTCGACCGAATCAAATGCTACTTCAGAACGAAGGAAGGAGAGAGATACTGCATGAGGTCACCCTCCTAGTATTACCGTTTGACTTGATTCTGGGAATGGATTGGCATGAGGAAGCCGATCCAGAAGTTAAGTTTAAGAACAACAAGTGGACCTGCCGCTACTATGCTGAGGCAAAGTTGGGAAAAAAAAAAAAAAAAGGCATTCGTAATCACACATAGTCCAAAGATTGAGAAGCGGGAAAAAAAAAACAAAAACAGTCGAAATTTAGGCAAAGTAGCTCCTCAATCGCTCTCCGCACCTATGCCTGCCTTCCTTCTCCATACGTTGTGCCCGTCTTGCTGCCTGTGTGGCTATGCCCTCATCAGTTTGCGCTCTCCTTCCCTTTGCGTCCGACTCCCTTCGTTCCTGTCATATGCGCCCGTCACACACTTCCACCATCCCACTTGCGGCTACTCGGATGTTCTCCATTATCGTCTCTCTCTCTCTCTCTCTCTCTCTCTCTCTCTCTCTCTCTCTCTCTCTCTCTCTCNCTCTCTCTCTCTCTCTCTCTCTCTCTCTCTCTCTCTCTCTCTCTCTCTCTCTCTCTCTCTCTCTCTCTCTAACCTTCGCCATGCTGACTGGTCGGAGTCAAAGCTCCAACAATCGGGTAGTGGGCCTTGCGACCTCCTCCTCCCCCTCGACGATGTCGCTGCGGCACGTCTGTGAAAATGTCCCCCGTTGGCTCTTGTGTCTCAACCCCTCGCACCTATGCATGCTCCCCCTCGATGTCGCTTGTCACTGCTTCCTTGCACATAGCCTGCTATGTGCCTTCCGTTTGGCCACCCTTCACAACGCTTGCTTACGTGGAGCCTCGCTACGTTCAGGGTGGACTTGCATGCGCGCCACCTCGTCGCCGCTATCTGCTGCCGCTCAGCCCCGCTGCACTTTCCCTGTGGGCCCTCGCTTCGCTCCGCCACCTTGTCACCGCTACGGGCATGCCCTTCCCGTGACGCTTGGACTTTTCCCTTCGGCCCCACAACGCTTTTCCCATGGGCCCTACGTCGTTTCGGCCCACCTGCGGTTTTGCTGTTGTCCCTCCGTCGGCACACTCGACACCGGGTCCCTGCCATGGTTTCTCGTGGGCCGCGGTAGTGTGTGTCATCGGGCCCTTTGTAACTTTTAAGAGTATAGAGATTGTAACTTTTAAGAGTATAGAGAAATTGTTACAGAAATGAAGTCAATCAAGTTGTTTCAATCTCGTGGGCAGCTGTACGTGGAGACTTGTCAGGTCTGTCAGAGGGACAAGCCACGTACTCAGGCTCCTCTTGGTCTCCTGAAGCCCCTTCCAATTCCGGAAAGGCCTGGTGAGAGTTTGTCCATGGACTTCATGGATACACTGGTAACCAGCAAGAGCGGGATGAGACATATCTTCGTCATTGTGGATAGATTTAGTAAGTATGCTAGGTTAGTTGCAGTGTCGGAAACAGTGAAGACCGAGCATGTGATTAGACTCTTCAAAGAGAACTGGGTCAGAGACTTTGGGCTGCCAAAGTCCATTGTTAGTGACAGGGATGTCCGATTCACAAGTGAGTTGTGGAAGGCTGCAGCAGCAGAACAGGGAACACAGCTGCAGATGACTTATGGGAACCATCCCGAGGCCAATGGACAAGCAGAGCAACTCAATCGCGCTGTTCAACACCTGTTGCGGCATTACATCAAGCCCAATCAGGTGAACTGGGATGAGAAACTTGCTCTCATCGCCAGCCTGTATAACAATGCGGTGCACAACGCAACTGGAGTAAGTCCTAATAGTCTGCTACTGACTTTCAAGCCCAGACTGCCCCTAGACTTTCTGCTACCTGACAATCAGTCAGCTGCTGCCCCCGGCACCCTTGAGTTTGCCTATCGCTATGAACAACTGATGCAGAAGGCAGTAGAACAGATGCATAAGGCACAGGCGGCAATGATAGAAACAGAGAACAAGCACCACTGTCCTTCTACATTTCAGGTAGGGGACAGAGTCTGGGTAAAATCCTCAGAACTGGGACAGGAGCACAGGATCTCCCGTAAGCTCATGCCACAGTACTTTGGACCATGGGAGGTTCTAGATGTTGTTGGGGAAGATCCGGATGGGCCATCCTATGTCATTCGGATCCCTGGTCATCTCCGCACTTACCCTGTCTTTCACGCCTCCAAGCTTGCACCACTCAGAGAAACTGACCAGTTTCCCTCTCGTCGTTCTATGCTGCCCCCAACCATGGATGGAGAAGTCGACATTGACAGCATCGTTGACCACAGGGAGATGCCAGTTCCAAGACCAATAGGCAGAGGACGTCCTCGGAAACCGAAGCTGCAGTATCGAGTTCAGTTCAGACATCACACTGATCCAAAGGAGGACCGATGGTTCACAAGGGAGGAACTGATGCAGACCGCTCCACAGGTAGTCGCCCACTACGAAAAGGAAAGCGCCAGTGTGACGGAGATGAAAATTCAGAAATGAAGTCAATCAAGTTGTTTCACATGGCAGTCCCCACCAACGAATGGTTAGAAACAAGGAGGAGAAAGGAGGACAGAACAGAATACTCAGCACACTGCCAAATGTGCCAAGAACAGGTAGCGGAAACGCTAACCCACTGCCTACTGGAATGCCAACATGCCAAAGCGCTCTGGCTCAAGTGCAAAAAAGCTTGGTCCAACCTATCTAATAATGAATTCCCGACAGACCAATTCCTCCTACTAACAGCAATAGACAGAGGAAGCTTAATCCCTGAGGAGGATAAAGAGATCACCGAATTACT